TTATTATTTTAATTATATTTTAGATTTTTTAGATTTTAAAACGAGTGTTTATCCTTTATTTAATTATATTTATACACAATTAGTTATACAAATTTAAATATGAAGCTTAATAAATAATTTTAACTTACAATAAGTTGATAAACAACTTATTGACTTATTACGGTGTGACACCGTTAATAAGCACTTTCAAGTGTTTGGATAAACAACTTATACCGGTGTCAAACAGGTAATAAAGAATTTTTAAAGAAGTTAAATCATTTTAACTTACAATAAGTTGATAAAGACTTTTGTAGAAAAACATAAGTTGTTTCAAATAAGCAATTCCAAACACCTCATAATTTACTTGTAATTTTAAATTTTAAATAATATACATCAATAAATAGTATTTACATAAAAAAAATTAATTAATTTTTTTAATAATTTTTGTGAAATGTTTTGTAATATAGTATAAATAAATGAAATTAAAATTTGATAATTCCAAAATTCTAATTCTATCAAATTGTAAGTCAAACAACAATAGTTACTGGTTCGCAGTGATGATGTAGCTCTGATTGTAGAGGGATTTTGATTTCATTTCCATGGCGGCGCAGATTCTAAGCATAGGGCACCCAATTTCATCCAAATCTCTACCCATCGGATCTTCTCTCGCTCCATCAGATGTTCAATCAATCAATTTGACTCGCTGCCGCCGTCAAGAGACGAGCCATAGTTGGAATTCTCTCCAACGCGAGCTAAAATCCGATGGAAGAATCTATTGTCTATTCTCCGATAATCGTAACAAGGTATAATTTCTTCAATTTACTGCATATACTTTCTATTGTTTCAAATTGATTTTTTTTCAGAACGACAACCACTTGTTTGTGATTATGATTCACTTTGCGTGGTTTTCCATTCTTCAATTCTCTGTTTTTTGAGTAACATTGGTTTGAACTTGGTTAATTGGTGTAAACTGTTGAGTTGCTTGATTGTGGAAAGCTATTGTACATAACATTATCCTTCCCGTGTATTAATCCTCAACAATGAAAAGATTGAACAAATTCGGTATAACAACATTTTAAACACTGGAATTAAGAACTCAGATAAATAATAGGGGAAGAATAGTTTCATAAATTCATTTAAGAGATGCATCCTAAGGATTCTGCAAAAGTAAGCTAAGAAAGATAAGGTGTTGCTAAATTGAAACACGCACATCAAACTGGAACATGTGGTATAAGGGAAAGATGTTACAGTCATAGCATCTAATAGAGCAAGAGAAGATCCAATTACTAGGGATTTGGATGAATCTGGGTTGCCTATGCTTAGAATCTATGCATACAAACAAAGGATGCTTCAATCCCCTCCTACCAGAGCTTCAAGGAACGGACACCATTGTTCTTCATCATCACTATTTATATCGTAAATTTTCATTAAATATTTTGGGTTATTGTGTAGGAGTAGACCTCGTAGTTTGGGGGTTGTCAACTAATAATAATGTAATAAGCAGATATCGACCAATTTCCCTGCGGAGCTAGGTCACTAACTCACTATATATATATATATATATTCATTAACTGGTGAAGAAAGGTTGTGTTCTGTAGTCACAATTGCTCTATGAAATACTCTTGATGGAAATGTAATGCCCTCTTATTAGAAGCCAGCTCCTTAACAAATTTCATGATGCCGACATTCCTCCGTATGGTCTATGAGGCAGATTATGCTTGATTCTCTGACCTACATTTGATCAAATTTTAGTGGATTAACTTTAGAGGTTCAATCAGGGACTTACGTTAAATAATTATAACTTATATCATACATAAGCGCTCATTTTCATCTCCCTCCCATACAACCGAAGATATGCATGCACATATACTTGAGTGAAGAAAAGAGGCATCCATGATAAAAACATGTCTTTCTGTTTTAATGTTGAAGTATATACTACATAGATGGTAGGCAATTGTTTATATGGCAACCTTTGTCTAGTTTGAAACTCGTCTAGTGCCATATTTAATGTTAATGGGATGGATTTTGTTCTTATAGATGTGTGAGGAAAGAAGAGTTCTTTCTTTTATAATAGTCTCGAATGAGAGAAATAAGTGCAGAAAGTCAAAATGATAAGCATCATGCTAGGGGGCGTTTGGTTTGACATAATCTTTTTGAGGGATTTGGATCTCGTGGAAAGATTTGGAATCTTTGGTGTGTTTGGTTTGTAGGATTTGGAATGAAATTGAATTGTATTCTTTATAGATTTATAAAAACAAATTATAAATAATAATACAAACAATTAAATTACCTTTTATTAATTGATTATTACAAAATGAAGGTTTTTAACATCTTTTACAACATTATTACAAACAAATCATATGAAATCCCATGAAATACCAACTATCCCATGGGATATGTAAATCCAATGTTTGTGAGATTTCAATTCCGGGATTTCCTTCAAACCAAACGGGTCTTGGAGTGGAATTTAATTCCAAGTCCCACCGAATCCCCAAAATCAAACGGGCCCTTAGGTTGCTGGATAATCCTGATTTTCATTTTGTCTTGCATGAAGATGTAATCATGGGTCCAATTTCCTCTTATGTAATAGCTTTCCAATGGTCTTTACAAAATTTGGAAAGAGCATGTTGGTAAATGGTGTGAATGAATAGGAAAAGATTTAAAACATGTTCCAAAATGATACTTTTGTTGAACTTGAAAATGAAAAAAAACATGTACACTACATTTTCTTTTCTTCTCTCTTGCTACATACATTTTACTTTTGTGCGTAATTTCTTGCAGGATCAAGCCAAGAAAGCCCTAGAAAGTGCACTTGGTGGCAAGAAAACAGAGTTCGAAAAGTGGGACAAGGAAATAAAGAAGAGAGAGGAAGCAGGCGGAGGCGGCAATGGAGGTGGAGGGTGGTGGCGCAGATGGTTTGGTGGTTCAGATGATGAGCATTTCTGGCATGAAGCACAGCAAGTCAGTCTTACCCTCTTAGCCCTTGCTGTTATGGTAAAAAATTCTTCACCTTTTTACAGTTTAGTTACCATTACACATTTGCATTGAAGATTATTTCAAGTGGTTGCAACATGCATAATGAATTGTTCCATTCATTGAGCATGTTACAACTTACATATCGTTTGCTGTTACAGTTGATTTATGTCCATGTATCCTTTGCTTCTCTCTCAACTACTAAATCTTGCTAAACATTTTAGGTCGGGTACCCTTGAGGGCCAACTCAACTAGCAAATAAAGGCTAGGGGGGCGTTTGTTTTTTAAGAGGTGTTAAAATTTTAAATCTTATTTAACTTCTTATTGATAAGAGGTGGTGCTGAAATCTAAAATTTGAATCATTAAGACCGTTTGTTTTTGTAAATTGATAAATGTCTGAATTTATTTAAATTGTCTATTTTACCTGTTAGAAAATTGTAGTGTTGAATTTATAGATAAATTTATAGAACTTCACATATTTATTCATCATTGTTACGAAATTTACATCTAAATTATATAATTAGCATCCATTTAAACGAAAATATACCATTAACGGTACTTAACACATTTAAATCCTATTAAAATACATAAATTGAGAAAGGGTAAGGATCGATTGGGAGAAGTGATCGATCAAGGTTAATTGATTGAGAAACATTGTTGCCGAGGGTTTGGAGAAGAATAAGAGGCAAATAAGAGGTTGGTTTACCTCTTACCAGATAAGAGGACAATAAGACATAAATGTCTCTGAACTACTGGAAAAACAAACAGTCTGAATAGCCTTATCTCTTAACGAATTAGACATAAGAGGCTGATAAGAAGTTTTTTTAATAAACAAACAACCACTGAAAGAAGCGATCTGTTACCGAGCCGTCTTATTGGGAATAACAAGAGCATCTATGAATACTCAAAGGCATGATGACTTGACGTCATCCTCACCTTCCTCCGGCTTATCACCGGCAATCTGTTCAGGGTTCCAAACTCAATGATGACAACTAAACACAAGGGAGGCCCCAATTCTTGACTCGGGAGACGCCATAGGCCTTGGGTCACCTCCCCATAGGTCGCCTGTTCGAGTGTCGTTTGTGCCACTGGGATTTTTCAGGCTGTTATCTTCGAGGCCACATGGACGTAAATATGAATAGGAAATATGTAGCTTTATTTAGCATCTCGTGTGGACCCAAAGTATCTACCCTACGTGCCTGAAACAGGAACTACCAAGGCTATGTTTGGCAACTAGCTGATGAGCTAAAAAGCCAACTGTTAGTGTTAGCTGATAAACTAGTTATGTTTTGCTAGAAAAATTAGTTGATAAGCTAGAAAAGAATATAAAATAGTCTAAAAGAACATGTTAAAATGTAAGGGTCATAATGGGACAAAAGTGAAAAAAAACCTGTTTTCTAAAAATAGCAGCGTCTCTCTCTCATTCTCTCGATCCTGTTTGGTTTGTGTTGGCAGTTTCTGATAATTGCGAAAGGTGATATCCTGTTTGCGGTCGCCTTGAATCCCATACTGTTCACTTTACGAGGACCGAGGAACGGATTGCGTTACATATCATCACAAATTCGTAGAAAGGTATTTCGATCACCTGCTGCTAAATCTGATGACGTTCCTAAACAAGAATTATATGCTCGTAGTTCTGCCAAAGAATCCGTTATTAGCAAATGGGCTAGCGATTCGTAGCTTTCTAGTTTCTAACGGTTTCAAATTTACCATCGAAGCTTTTCATTTCGATAAGAACTATGTTTAGCTTCTGCGGAAAATGCTAATAGTTATGAGTTCCTTTTATGAAAAACATGAGATTGCATTCGATATTTGCACGGTACAACGATCAATGGATCGGAAAGATGTTCTCTTTACTTGTGAGCATGTTATTTTCCTTAGTAGTTTGTCCCTTTTGCTTTTAGTTAAATCAGATTACTCACCGAAAGAGCTTACCAAAAGAATCTTTCAGCAGATAAGGGAGGTTCCAACATATATTTAGGAGAAATTGTCTTAGGGGTCGTTTACTGAACACTTACCTTGACAATCGTTTACTGGTTTAATTACCTTACCTGATGAACATAACAAAGATCGAAAATCTTACTTGATAAGAGAAAAAAATCAGGATCAAGAGTCTTACCTAGTAAGTAAGGGTGACTCCTCCTACCTGGTAAGCGCTTACGGGGTTATGGATGCTTTCCATGAATCTGTTATGATGGTCGAGAATGTTACTCCATAAGGTAAGTAAGACCGGTAACCCTTGTTGGTAAGCGTTTGGTGAATGACCCCTTAGCCTAGTCGATATGAGAGCTTAACATGCCCCTAAGCGTTTGGTAAATGACCCCTTAATTTTATGACAATTAGTTTGTATCAATTTTAACTTTTATGTTTTTGTAGATTATTAAAATAAAAATAAAAAATGGTTAGAAAGTAATAAAAATAAAAAAGGATTATAGAAAAAGTACTGGAAAAAACCCTTCCAGTACATATAGAAGAAAGATCAAACGAGAACACAACCAAAATAAAAGAACATGTGATTTTACAACAATATGGTCAATGCAAAGGTGAGTTGGTAACCTGGCTCATGACCTGCCAAGATCTATAAAATCATATATGATTCAACTATTTTCTTGTTTTTTTATTTAATTATCGTTATAATATTTATACTATATTATAAAACATTTGATAAAAACTCTCAAAAACCATTTTTTATGCATGAGGTATTGTTTATTGATGCACATTGCTTCAAATTCAAGATTACAAGTAAATTGTGCGTATGTACAACTTATTAAAGTTTCATGTTTGAATTCGTGTAACTAACTCCAGATAAACATAATCAAATAAAGGATAAACATCTTATTTTAAATATGAAAAATCTAAAATATAATTAGGATAATCATTAAGTTATAACAAAATATTTGATTATTATCTTATAAAAAATTATATTATTAAACCAAAAAAATTTAAAGAAATACACAAAAAATGAGAATTTTAAATAGTAAGTTTCATACTAATATTAATATATATTTTTTTTCAATTTTTTATAATACCTTCATATTTATATTTTATTTAAAAATAAAAACATTAATGTTTTTTCAAAACCACATAAAATCATATCATAACATTAACTGAGACAAAAAAAATAATTAAATCGAGATGATCTTCTTCTAATCTATACTACCTTATAAACCAGATTTATCAAAAGTTTTAAAAACAATTTTTAATGAACAAACTACTATACATTTAGACACAAAGTCTTAAAATAACTCATAATGCATTCAGTACTACTACTTTATGAATTAAGTTTAAAATCACTTAATCTACAATTAAAATAACATATAATACAAGTTACCAATACACATTATTACCTTTTTTTTATCATGTTCCCAAGATACTTTTAACATCTTTCATTCATGCTTTCACCCTCCCATACCTCTATGTCTTCTCCCCATCCTCCAACGTGAGATTCAAATTGATATTCATCATGAGTTATAAAAGTTCTATCATTCATCTTTCATTCAATTGCTCTAGAACACTCGGTCTTGCTCTCGATCTCTTGATTCTTTGCTCTTGGTGTAAATCGAATACATGTGTGGAGTCGTTTAAATATGTTGTATTTTAAATATATTGAATTTTAAACTATTATACAATTTTTTTCATCGATAGACTATAATTGGAATGATAACTCTTATTTATTCAAATTGTATTAATATATAAAGACCAAGTGTAACTTATATCATCGTTAAATCTTCTCTAGTAAAACCAGTAAAACTTCAAAATCGTTAAAATTCACAGCTCCCGTCACATTACGCGATTACACAACTAGTTAACTTATTATATATAAGTTGTTTTTATGGTATTGGTGTGAAGTCATTTTCATATTCAATGTCACTTGACCTTCTTACCCCTAGATATCCACATTGCCCTTCAATGGTCCCTTTTTTCTTTGGTGAAAACGTGTCTTTGACCATATTCTTCTAAATTCAATCATATTTTGTCAATACCCTAAATTCACTCCTTACTAGTTTAGAATTATAAAATGTGTTGTTAAATAATCATATACATTAACATACACGGTTGGATTCCGGTGAGAATGAAAGTTATTATGAGAAGGATAAGAAAATATCCTTATCCGTAGATCAATCTTAATTGAATCTCAACACTAACGAGATTTACCAGATCAATTTCTGTATCAAACGTAATTCATAAGGTGTGGATAAGATTAAAAATGATCAAAGGTCAAGATCCATTTTTACGCTTCTCATATTCTCACACGATCCTTCGTCTTAACATCAATATAGTGGTTAAAAACATGTACAATTATTTGACCAATAATGTGTTGTGGGTCATTATGTATTTGTAATTCCACATGCTCTTTTAAAATCATATTGGGTAAAAACACTAATGAAGTATAAATAACACTTAAAATGAGAGTTATCAGTTCAAATCAGCAACCGAATCTAGTAAGAGATTCAAACCTGACTTGTATTTAGACAAAATCATCTTACCCTTTTACCAACTGAGCTATATGTCAGAGACCTTTTAGAAAATCATATAAAAAAGATAATATAACAATCTACTTTCAAAATTATGTAATTAAAATTGTAATTTAATAATATTTATAAATTATTGAAATAAAAAATTTGTTAAATCCTTTAATTTCATTATAATAATTTATTATATTAAATACACTTATTATGGTTAAGAGTTAAAAATGAAATTAATTATAGTTATTATGAAATAAATAGATCTCATTAATTATGGAAATAGGGTTTCAATTATTAATGAAATTGATGGGTCCATTGTACTACATATTTAGGGTCCTACATATCAGACTACCTAGTTTTACATGTGACCACTTTAAAGTGTTCGAATAATGAGTTTTTTTTATTAATCTGGATATCCAACTTGTTATGCAAGCCGACTAATTCTAGAGGTGACCACTTGTTTTGCAGATAGCTCATAGTCACCGCATTTGAACCTTCGTGGCCACAAGAGGATTTTTATTTCTCCTTGGATTTGAACCTGAGACCTCTTGATACTTTTGATCTTTGGAGCAAAGTTCGAACCAATCAGACACCACCCTTGTGGTTCGATAATGAGTTTTTTTTATCTTATCAAACCAGAAATATTAAAAACCACATTAAATCCCTATAGAAATCGAACCTTCATATGAAAAAAAAAATATCAGTTATATTCGTCTCTCATCATACAATTAATATTGAGGATATATTGACAATTTTCTTTTTTTGTCTTAATTCCATTTGCGTTAATGAGTTGTTATAAAAATACCAGTTTCATGATTCTAGCTAAAGTATCTAAGCACAAAAATTAATCAAGAACTCCCCCTTTTTCCATATATCATCCCGTATGTAATAAGTTGAACAACATCTCATTATTCACAAGTGAAGATGCTACGTGAACATGATGGGTGAACATGTGAGATTAATATATTCACAAGCGCACATATGATCAAGTAAACATGATGGGTTTTTCTGGTTATGTGAACGATGTTACTTAAGCGTTCACATATGAAAAGAGGGAACAACATGTGAACAAAATCTCTTCATGTTAAGTGAAAACGATATTTCTCTTGTTAGGTGATTACAGACTGTACTTGAACTGGAAGTAAATAAATTTTTATGGTTTATTTCCAATAACACCCTTGTTCGTGTATATTCATCTTACAAGGTAACATATTATATTCGTTGTTATTACAAAAATACCATCATAAATGTAATCCTTTGATTTTCAAGATGAATGATTGTGATTGGTTCACAAAGTTAACACAATATCTTATAAACGTCATAAGCACCACGAGACTTCTCAATAATCACAAAATTGTCATCGTACAACTTTAAACCATTAGATTATTAGCTTATAAAGTTGATCAATGACCATAAATTGGTGTTACGGGTCTCACGAAAAACTCTTGGTCTCACGTGAACCCAACCCTATATACATATATATATATATATATATAGAGAGGAGTGATCATATGAAAACCGCACTCATTTGTGTAAACCGTGCAAACCACCTTCATCTGTCGATTTCATTGTTTAATCTTATGAAATTTTTTCATGAAATTGTTTAATTTTGTGAAATTGTTTCATATAATACTTTTTTTGATGAAGTTGTTTCATATATGGTTGTGAAATTGTTTCATATAATACTTAATGAAACTGTTTCATGTATTTCTCTAACATTAATGAAACTGTTTCATGTATTTCTCTAAAATTAAAATTATGAAGATGATAATATCTATGATTAACACCCTCCACAATAAAAATGATTAATCAACCTCTCATAATTACAAAAAAATGAACAAAATGAAAAATTATGATTGGTTGAATGCGGTTTGCACGGTTTGTACAAATTGAGTGGTTTGTATTTGATCGCTCCCCTATATATATATATATATATATATATATATATATATATATATATTTTTGTGTGTGTGTGTGTGTGTGTGTGGCACATAGCTTTCTTGATCATCCCTAATTTCCAAACTACCATTCATGAAAACCTTATAAATGAAAATAATATAGAAAAAGGAACAACAACAACAAAACCAGAGATCCATCCAATGGAGGGAGAAATATGGAATTTCATGGCAGATTGGACCATTGCTTTGGCATCTCTTCTCTATTCTCATGGTGTTGGCTTCTTGATTCCACAAGGTACAACCAGATTCTTAGCTCTATTTCCAATTATACCCCTCTTCTTCTACCTTCCATTAAACCTAACCACCATGTTTCTCTGTGGTCTGACTTCCTTCTTCATCTCATGGCTTGCAACCTTCAAACTCATCCTCTTTGCCTTTGGCCATGGCCCTTTGGCTTCAAACCCATCTCTCCCTTTCTCTCATTTCATCCCAATTGCTTGTTTTCCCATCAAAATCTTGAACCCTAATTCAAGAATTCAAGAAAACCCTAAAACCGCCCGCGAAACGGCTAAGGATTATGGAACTAGGGTTTTGTTCTTCTGTATCGCGATCAAGATCTTTGGTTATAAAGACTATGTACACCCTTTTCTAGTGACTTTGATCTATGCATACTTTGTATTCTTCATGCTCGAGTTAGGGCTGGCGTTGGTTGCTTTTGTGGCTCGAGCTGTGACCGGAGTCCAGCTCGAGCCACAGTTCAATCAGCCCCAGAACGCTAGTTCTGTGCAGGATTTCTGGGGCAAGAGATGGAACCTTATGGTGTCTAGTATTCTACGCTCGATTGTCTACCTTCCTGCACGGAAAGTCTTTGGGCACGTGATCCCACAAAAATGGGTGTCGGTGCCTGCGGTTTTCGTGACGTTTTTGCTGTCGGGAATAATGCACGAGCTCATATTTTACTATCTTGGACGACTTAAGCCGACGTGGGAAGTCACATGTTTCTTTGTAATCCATGGGGTATGTGTCGGATCTGAGATCGTGATCAAGAAAACCTTTGTCCAGAGGATCAAGCCGCCAACGATGGTCGCTCGAATCCTGACTCTCGGATTCGTAACCGTCACTTGTTTTTGGCTATTTTTTCCGCCTTTTTTGCGATTTAATCCATTTATTAGAGGATGTAGGGAAGTTATGGCGGTTTTAGAGTTCCTGAAACATGGTGTTATGGTTAGCCCTAGCGACATTGAGTGTCCATACAACTAGAAGCTTTTAATTATGCATCCCAATGGGAATTTGTACGTAACTCGAAACTAGTTTTAAAGCAGTTGAAGAAATCAATCGTAAATTGTGTTGTGGTTGCATAATGAAATCAACATTTTTTTTCATTATTTTATCACATTAATCAGTTTTATTAATCAATATGTTTTAGAAAGTCTAATGAGTTAATTAACAGGTTTTGGAATGTCCAATGACTTATTTGTTTCAAAAAATTGTCAAAGGACTTAATAATTCTAAATACTAAAGTTCATTGGGTCTTTTTAAACTTTTACCTTTTTATATTTGGAAAGATTGTAATTTTTGTACTTTTGTTTGTCACATTATTTCTACCTCACCAAATTAAGAATCTACATTAAGAACCTTGTATTACAGTGTTTTTCTAAAAAAAACTATATTTTTTACTTATAAGAACTTTGCATTACAGTGTTTTTATTTAAAGATTTTTATGAATATAAATATAAAAAAGTAAAAGAATAAATTATAAATACGAAAAAGGATTGCTTAAAAGCATGTGGGAAGATGAGTGATGGTCCTTGTGATAGTGATTTTTTTTTTCCCAAAAAAACATAATTTATAAGGAAAAAATTACATCAAATCATGATTTTCCTCGTTCAAATTGGTTTTCTGATAATTTCTTTTGATTTGACCAAAATATTACTGTATACAGGTTGTTTTTGTCTTGGTTGGTACGCTCCCCCTTGTGAAAGAAGTCCTCCATCTTGACTTAAGACAGAATGCCGGTTATCAACTTCAAGAAAAATAAATGATTATAAGGAACCAACGATTATCGACAATATTACAAACTAAAAAACAAAAAAAGATCAAATTCAACTAGTTTACCGTTGCAATTGCAGATCTGGTCGTCACAATTGCATATTTGGCCGTCGCAGTTACATATATGTGTTGAATTTGATTTTTTTTTGTTGGTCTTAAGCTATTGCAAACCTGGATGTTGCGAAAGTAGTGACATTTAGATCAACTCAAGAAAAAAATGATTAGAAAACCAATTTGAATAAAGGAAATGGTCGACTCTTTATTTTATATCTAATTTAATAAAAAATTATTTAATTTTTTTGAACAACTTCGAAAAATAGTCCAAAAATATATGAAAAAGGAGTTATATTCTATTTTCCTTTTTTTTGTTTTAAGATAATAAAACTTTTAAGTTGACAATAATTCCAAATGAGAATATTTAATTATAAAAAATGAATTGTTTGTGGGTGCCACTTTCTTATGGATAAAATTAGGACCGTCGAATAGGAGTTATATTCTATTTTCTCACGGACGTTTAGTTTGATGGAATGGTTTAGAGGGATTTGGATTTGGAAGGATTGGTGTGTTTGGTTTTTAGGATTTAGAATGGATTTGAATTTCATTATTTATAAATAATTTATAAAAACAAATGACAAATAATTATAAATATAAATATAGTTAAATTATTGGAAAATAAACGTTTAAAACATTATTACATACAAATCATTTGAAATCCCAACCATTCCCATGGGATTTCGAAAAAAAGTCCTATCTTTCAAAGATATATCACGACTTCATATTCGAACAATCCTGCAAACCACACACGAGATTGGAATGAATTTAAATTCCAAATCCCCAAAATCATTTACATTCCTACAAACCAAACGAGAATTTAGTTTTAATTAGGATTTGTTATGTAATATTCGAGTTATAAGTTTCGAATTAAGATTTTGGAATTTATATATATATATATATATATATATAGTTTTGTGTGAGTGAGAGGTTTTAACCGACTTTTGTTAAAAAGTGGCCATACACTTGCTATAAATAGCAAGTGTATGTAAAAAGGGAAGGTGTTGGTTTTTAGAAGTTTTTCTGTAAATTTTGAGTGAGTAAATCGCAGGCTCAAATCCGTTCAATCAATTTTAAGGTGAGTGTATATTGCTTTAAAGTATTGGTTATTACTTTTTTTACTGCTGGAATCTGCTATTTATGAACTGTTTTTTCATAAATATTTGGTTAAGTCCTTAAACCGCCCAAGTGTTGACCGGATTTCCCTTAAACCGCCCAAGTGTTGTCCGGATATCTCCTTAAACCGCCCAAGTGTTGACCGGATTTCCCTTAAACCGTCCAAGTGTTGTCCGGATATCTCCTTAAACCGCCCAAGTGTTGTCCGGATATTTTCTTAAACCGCTCAAGGGACAGCCGGATTCTCTTTAAATCGGTCATGTGTTAACCGGCTTAAAGCTAAACCGCTCAAGGCATGATCGATGTAACCCTCTTGATATTCTAAGTGTTTGTCCGGACTTCATATCCGGACAAGGTTGACCGGACTTCAAATCCGGCTAATGTGTTAGAATTTTTGATATAATTAAGAAGAGAGAGATGTAATAGCGGTGTAACCGCAAGAGAGATGTAATGGCGGTGTAACCGCGAGAGAGAGAGAGATGTAATGGCGGTGTAACCGCGAGAGAGAGAGAGATGTAATGGCGGTGTACCCGCGAGAGAGAGATGTAATGGCGGTGTAACCGCGAGAGAGATGAAATGGCGGTGTAACCGCGAAAGAGATGTAATGGCGGTGTAACTACGAGAGAAATAAATAAGTATATGTATCTTAACAGGTTTGATTCTGAACTGATTGTTTGGAAAGTATGTTATTTGTTTGAGATTTATACACTCACTAGACATTTTAGGTCTAACGCTCAGTTGTTGGACTAACCTGTTTTGCAGGTCATCATACCTCGCAAGATAAAGGCAGGGGAAAAGTTTAAAATGAATGACATTTAGTTGCTCATAAATGCATTCAAGAGAGTTTTTGTTTAGCACATGTTATGTAAATGATATTAGATTCTGTGTTATGAGTATTTGTATGTGGATTATCGGTATATAGAATATGTGGGTTGTTAAAGTTGGTATCAAAGCCTTAGTTTAAAGGATCTGGGTATTTGCGAAATACTTAGACTTAAACTAGAGGTATGGAAAATTATGATAATAGGTTTCACTGGATCTATGAACATGGGGAATATGTTATAGCTGAACCTATTATGAGAAAGATAGATTATATATAATTGATATAATCTGAGTTATGGATAGACTTGAAGATGAATATGTTATTATATTTTGATTATGAAAAATAATCATGTGAGTTTAAATATGACAGAAAGAGTTATACACTGAGAAATGGCAGATAATCCCAATCAATCAGAAAGAACCTCTACTGGTTATGGAAGAAGTCGGGGAAGAAGAAACTTAACACAAGGAGAGGACCTGGAAAATGTGATGACGATAGAAACGCGAAGTCGTAGCAGGGGTCGAGGAAGAGGTAGAGGTACTAGACAAGAACATGAACTGTCAGCTCAAGAAAGTTCAATGTCTGGTCATGGAAGAGGAAGGGCAAGGGGTGGACACAATGTTCCTGATCCCGGATTTATTACCCAAGAAATGTTGGCAGCAGAGTTGGGAAAGTTCCAAGAAAGTTTGGTAAATCTATTGGGGCGTACAGCCCAAAATAATCCAGAAGTGGTAAGAAATTCCGATTATCAGGAGGAAGCCGGTAACTGGTACATCTGTACCCCTTACTTCTTCTTCCGTACAGAAATGAGGAGATATTAAGATGTTTCTTGCCTGTAAACCTCCCAAGTTTTCTGGTGAGCGTGATCCTGTTAAAGCCATGTGTTGGCTTAAAGAAATAGAACTGAGTCTGCAAATCAGTAAAAGTGCAGAAGAGGACAAAGTCATGTTTGTTGTATCTCGTTTAAGATCAAGTGCTTTGTACTGGTGGGAAGTTCTGTCCAGTTCAGATCCAAATATTCTGAAAACCATGTTGTGGGAAGAATTTGTGGTTAAGTTTAAAATGCAGTATTGTCCTAAAGCTGCAATACGAAAGTTGGAAGATGATTTCCTTCGTCTAGAACAAGGAAACATGTCAGTTCGTCAGTATACAGAAGTCTTCATGGAACAATCCCGATTCGCTGAAGCTTATATTATATCCGAAAACAGTAGAGTGAGAAAGTATATATGGGGTTTGGATTCGAATCTTCGAAAATATGTAATATCCAGGAATCCGACAACATTTCAAGCGGCAGTTGATGCTGCTGAAATACTGGAACAAGACATTAACCGACAACCATAGGAAAAGGTTGGAGAGAAAAGAAAGGGGGAAATTACAGTAACTGATTTCCGTAAACCAAGATTTATGGAAAATTTGAATCGACCAGTTTCAAGGTTTGCGGATAAAGCGTGTACCCAATGTCATAAAATACATCAGGGAAATTGCAATACAGAATCTCGAGTATGCTTTAAATGTCAGGAACCAGGACATATAGCTCGAGACTGTCGGATGACGCGGATGTGTTTTACTTGTAATTCATCTCAACATGTAAATGCCGATTGTCCGTAAGCAAAAAGTCAAGGGTTTGGTTTTGCTGAAGGTCGGGGATCTGGATATTCTGGAGGTCGAGGATCTGGGTATGTTCCAACAGGTCGTGGGCAAATGGATAATCGTGTTAATCCAAGTGGACGAGGAGGGATAAGACAGGTAGAGTCTAATGCAAAAGGGAGAGCCTTTCAGATGACGAGAGGCGAGGCGGAAGAGCACCCTGAAGTGGTGACAGGTACATTTCTTGTTAATTCACTATGTGCCAAAGTTTTATTTGACTCGGGTGCAAATCGTTCTTTTGTGTCACCGTCGTTTGTTTACTGCGCACATTTAGAATCTAAAGTGTTGAGTGAGGATTTAATTGTGGAAACAGCAAACGATAGTGAAGTTTCAATTAAGGAAAGGATAGATGAATGCTTTATAAATATAGAAGGGTGTGAAGTGCCTATACAACTATTTCCTTTGCCTCTAAGAGAATTTGATATAATTATAGGCATGAATTGGTTAGCTGAAAACCAAGCCAACATAGTATGTAATGAAAAGATGATTCATATAGACTTACCTGAGAAAGGAAGAGTTGTGATATATGGAGATAAGCATGATCGTTATTCTAGCCTAATTTCAGTTCTAAAGG